TAACTTACGCAAAATACATTTTAATTAATTGACTGAATTCTGGAACATAAAGAATTGTTGACTCTTAGATATGGTCTTTGATTTATCAAAATTGACTGAATTCTGGAACAAAATGAATTGTTGACTCTTAAATATGGTCTTTGATTTATCAAAATTGACTGAATTCTGGAACATAATGAATTGCTGACTCTTAAATATGGTCTTTGATTTATCAAAATTGACTGAATTCTGGAACATAATGAATTGTTGACTCTTAAATATGGTCTTTGATTTATCAAAATTGACTGAATTCTGGAACATAATGAATTGTTGACTCTTAAATATGGTCTTTGATTTATCAAAATTGACTGAGTTCTGGAACATAATGAATCGTTGACTCTTAAATATGGTCTTTGATTTATCAAAATTGACTGAATTCTAGAACATAATGAATTGTTGACTCTTACATATGGGTTTTGATTTATCAAAAGCCTCCTGACATTTATCAGACCATTTATACTGACCATCGTTCTCAACCGATTGGTCAGAGGTTCAGCAATTATGGAAATATTGTAGCAATATTTGCAATAATATCCAGCCATACCCAAAACTCATATCAATTGCATTTTACTGATAGGTACTGGAAATTCAGAGAGAGCATTGACCTTTACGTCTGTAGGTTTAACAGGATCCCATCATACAATATGTCCTAAACATGCAACACAAGCACGGCACAACTCATTTGTACTTATGGTGTCATATTGCATCACGGTGTCGATCAAAGAATTCCAGAATGGACTCCAATCGATCTTTCTATGTTGCGTTGAACATGGTAATATCATCGATGTAAGCGTTACAAATTTCAAAATGTCATCATGTTTAAGAGAACCTTTCATAGAACACGTTCTCAAGTTTTATTGATAGAGTTCTTATCGAGTTACGAATGTTGAAACTTCCGTTGCTCTTTTTGTGAATGGACTTGGCCAGAATGATTTCAAAAGGTCAAACTTTGTGACATAATTTGCATTTCAAATTTTGTCCCTTGGCTTTGGAAATGAATCTGTTTTGGTGGTAATGTTCGCTTTTTTATGGTCAGTACACACGGGGAAGGTATTATTATATTCATGTGTAAAGTACAGCCCCAGAAAGTAGATGGTTTAATTGCCTATTTGTGTGATTCTCTGTTAACGACAATGAAGCGACAATACTAAGTCAAAGAAGATTGTGTGAGTCTTTCTATTTATGAGGACATTTTGAAGTCACCACTCAGGGATGAGTTTGGCACCCAAACGGAATCAACAACCTCCAAAGACATCTCCAAAATTAAGCACGTTCAGCAATCTAACTGCTATTTACACATCACCGATGGAAAACAACACTTTTCATGACCCACTTCTAAAGAGGAGCGTACGCGGAAATGTGTTACTGGTGAGCGTCATTCACAACATCAAGCAGATAATCGTCCAAATTAAGAACTCAAAGACTACACGTATTTAGCTGCAGCTATCGTCGTCAGAAAAATCAAATGTTAAAATCAAATGAACTCTTATTACATGTTACATAGGTAAGATTGTTCACAATCATATGTCACAGTCTTTGCTCTATAATGAGTTTAGATTTTTTAATAGAATAATTTGTTTTACTAAATGGGTTCTTAACTTACTGTTATTGTGCTTTTCAGGCTTTTTATTATCTGTTGTTTACGTCCGGTCATATTTAATATGCAAGACTATCTAGCTTCAGAAATATTATTCATCGAAAGTAGAATGAGTGATCATTACTTCAAAAATCAAAGTGAACATATACAATATTTGCGACGACCGTAAAATTAATATGAACAGCCCAAAATAAACAGGAAATAGATGTGATTTGCAACTTTTAAAACCAAAGCCTTTCACCTCCAGTTTGTGACAGTAAATGAAACTTTATCAGAGACATATTTTTAAAGGCGTTAAAAATATTAGTCATGTATCAGCAAGATTTCAACTAGCAATAGATTTTATAAGCATTGGAAACGCGCGATTTAGCAAGGTACCCGTCTTTGATATGATGTTTTCAGTTCATGCATAATACAGTACAAGCTAAACAAAAGGATCAATAGTATGTGTGAGAAGCAATTTGATAAAACCCAAGCAAATGAATATACAAAAGTTAATGCTATTTATTGTACAGTAAATACAACTGCATCAAGAGTGTTTCACAGCTCAACTTGCACAATAACGTCAACTGGATGATAATGATCATGGATATCCAGGAAAAATTACCTGCATATGCGATATAATGCTTTAAAAATATCAACCAACAGAAACTGGCATCACCCTTTGTTTATTTTCGTGTACATTCATACCTTCGAGTGTCTATCATTCGATTATTATTGATTTTAAATCAACTAATTTACAAGGTGATGATATTATTGCTGGAAGAAATGAATGCAACAGTTCGGTTTGTTTTATAAAAGATGATGAGTTAGGAGCTATCTTTAATGGACCATCTTCGAACACAAAAGACTAATAGGAACCATGAACCAACTAGTTGATGACGGGAGGATTTTCTTTTAATAAGATATTTTGTTTCTCTTTTAACTTATAGGCTACATCAGCACATTCGAGATTTAAATTCATAGGAAACACTTCTAATTCATTCGTAATACTCTATATTTTGCATAGTTCATCGTATTGCAAGATCCTGTTTAAATTTTCACTTTGTATTCTATGAAGACAATTCGATTTTTCAATTTTTCTAAACTCGTTGGTTTTTGTTTTGTCTGTAAGTTTAATACCAGAAAATAGTAACATCGCGCATTGTCTTGAATAGGTTCTACTGATTATAGAACAGAAGAGATTGTAGAAGGGGAACATGGTCTTTCTACTGCCTTTCGTATGTCTTAACACAAGTATTTTTCATCTCTGCTCTTAAACTACATGGAGGTTTGACTTTGCATACATTCATGAGAGTGTTAAATATATGTAATTTAAGTACTCGTGTGTTAGTTTTAAATTCTTTTTTTAATATTTGTTTCCTGTCATTTTATTTTAATGATACTTTTCACAAGATTTGAATATGTTTTTGTAAAATTAACTTTTTCTCTGTTTTTACCTGATTAAGCCGTTTAAGTATTACATTATTGCTATTTTTAGCTCACCTTGGTTGAGACGTTTGTAAATAATAAGCAAAAATGATTGATTATTATCAAGGTCATATTGGGCCCACGCGTTAGCAACGTTGTAAGCTTCAGTTTATTCTTTATTTTCAGCGTGAGAATCAGATTCTTAGCTAGGGTTGTTTTGGCCTACGTGTATTATTTTTTACTGCGCTGTTCGAAGTTTTGATCACATATATACCTCACGTGAGAGACACCAAGTAATCTAAAATCTAGGGTTAAAGCACACATTTTCTTGTAGATTTAGGCAGCCGTATTCCACACCTTTAGAGTTCAATGTGTTTTTATTGTTGATACCAGTTTGATTTGAAGTTCATCTATTTTTTTTAGATTCAATAATTTATATTCTCTGGGAAAAAAAAACACAAGTGCTTTTCTTTATAAAAAATTATTGGTTAAAGACATTTAGTAGTAATTTAGTCTGGAATTCTAAACAGATCATTATAAATTGTGATTCAACGATGAACTGTTGCCATCAGTACAACAACCTCATCTGACATCATCGCCTTTCATATTGGAAATTCAACTGTTTATTAAGAGGACTTATATTTTTCAATTCTGGTATTAATTTTTGGATTATATTCACAAATCGTAGGACCTATTTTATAGTCTTGCCTTGTTTTCTAGGAAAAATATATTTTGTTAAAATTTATGAAGCTTGTTACCTTCACTCTTTTCTGTTGTTACTTTTGTACGATCCTACATATAACAATAGTCAGACATGTTCAATATTTTCTTATCGCTACTTCTGAATGCATGGTAATATCATTATTCGGTTTTCACTCTAAGCCTTTGCATTGTGTCTATTTGGTCCTACTTGAAAATGGTCTCTTAATACAGCCGTCACAGTGACTATTCTGAATATTTTATCATTAGTATTGCTTCTCAATGGACGATCATACCAACATTAAGTTTTGACTTAAAGACTTCTTATAGTTGCTAGTTGTCCTAAACTGAAATGGTGCCAATCTAAAACTTTCGCTAAAAGACTTGTTATGAAGTCCAGTGTGGGCTAAATTGACAATGGTACAGATCTGAAGTTCAGCCCTGCCACCACAATGGATATCTTGCAAATATGTCTTTGATAATCATCCTTAATGGATAGTTAGTTCTAACATGGGGTAGTCACCAAAAGACTTCTATGAAATTTAGCTGGTGTAAACAAAAATGGTGGTGATATGACACCGAATATGGAAACCATAGCAACCATTTAAAAAATAACATTATTATTACATCTCGACTTGAACAGAAAATCATATTGACATGGAGTTTTAATCATATAGCTTATTATGTCGGCCAGTTGGTCTTAAATGCAACCATGCCCATCTGATATCCAAAGTGGCCACCACAGCAGACATCATGACATTTTATCATTGTTAATCCTGAACGGAAGTTTTTTTTTCTTCAAAATATTATTATATTTACTCCTTTCCAAATGGATGTCTATATGAATGTTTGGCTTTTCACCCGTCCAGTTCGTATGATACTTAGTTGGTCCTAAACGAAAATGGTGTCAGTCATACATCCAACAGCTGCCATGTTGACTCTTAAAACTCTTGTTTTCAATATTATTGGATAATACTTATCACATGGAATTTTCACTACTTTCCAAATTAAAATTGTGGATGTCACATATCCATTATGACTGCCACAATGTATGTCTTGAAAATTTTGCTGGTGCTACCCTCATGAATGGGACATCATGATAACATGAAAGTCTACCGAAAAGATTTATAGATGTCTAGCACTGGAGATTCATGCCGCAGACATGAAGTATCATGTCCCACATTATCCTGACACCAGGCCGACCAGTCCTAACACTAACCTCCTAATGCTTAGAGCCATTTTTATGTCTTTGGTATGATCTGGCCGAGGATCGAACCAAGGACTTTCCGCATCTGAGGCGGACGCTCTAACCACTAGTCCACCGGAGCGATACGATTTACCTATGGCCTACGATGTACCCCTTCCTAAATGTGAAGGTCTTTTTGTTTTCATATTTAAAATCTAGGGGCATATTTTTATTCACATATTTCAAATTGTCTGATTTACTAGTATTTATTTTGCCGAAAGTTTAGTAACGTTAATTGCGTTTTAGAAATAGGACAGATCAGGAGGGAGAGTTTATTTGAGCCATTTCAACATGTTATTCAGGGCATAGTCGTGTATACTAATGTTACTGTATAGTCATAAACATCAGTCAGAGTATGCCATACATAATAAATATTAGTTTTCGTAATCTTTAGATATATTTTATCAGTTAAAACTAATTGCTCAATCTTACCATGAAAAGACAAAAGATCAATTCATGCTAATCCTGTACAACTATGTCTTTAAACAAAATTCCATTTTCCAGTTCTCACTTATCATGTAGTGATTTATATAATTAACTGGGTTTACTCACTCACATTGTAACAAACAAGATCGCGTAAGGTGTACGATCTAGCAATATCTTGCACAATTGTGTTTCTTGTCATAATTTTTATGCTAAAACAATTTGGCCGAACATACAATATTAGTACTTGTCCACATGTTGTACAGCTGTCAACCACCTTGTTCTTTTGACTATTTTCTACAGAATAACTTAAGCTCTCCAAATCCGTAGTTAGCAAACATTTTGATTAGCTTGCATTATATGAAAATTTAAGTTGATGTTAAACAGACAATATAATCGTGCTAGAACTGACAGGCTAAAGATGGTTTCCACAACTTAAATTCAGTTTACATGTATACCAAGCGTCTTGACCAAGCATTGTAAATATATTGAGATGAGAAAGACACTAACTGATATTATGGGCAGCGGTCAATATCAAGGAGTATTTAAGGAAATTTTTTCCCGAGAATATCTTTTGTTCACCTACTTAAGCCAGATTTTATGGGTGTCTTGTATTTGGGACTATAGATTGTTGGAACACAGGGGTGCAAAGAAGAAAAAGAGTTTTAAAAATAACAAAGTTCGAGACAACTTAATTTGACCAGATTTTGTGGACGACTCACATTTCAGACAAGGAATACTCTCATCGATTTTTTGGCGTTTATTCTTCAAGGTCTCAACGACTTCAAGAATAAATACTGCTTACACACTTGAACTTAAAACATGCGTCCAATACTATGATCAGAAGTTTTGGATGACTTGAATTTATTGCTACTAAAAGACCTTATTTCATATCGGAATTTAGTTAGTGCAGTTACTCCATGAAGAAAACTTGGCTGTGCTAAAAAAACGTAATAACCTACCTTTAACAAACATTGTGGGTATGATGCATTTGAGATGGAAAATACCATAAATTCCGTAATATAGTAGGCAACGATTTTGACACAACAAGGGTTTGTGTATGCTGTATACAGACAAAAGTGAAGGTATGAGAGCTACTGATGTCGCTTGGTATGGGTATACCACTTATGGTACTCATGTAGCTATTTAAAGATCAGAATTATTTTGTGTATCTCAGAGCATGGTTGAGTACATTAGACCTACTCACCATGCTTTATTGCTTACCAGAAGCATGACGTTGCCCATGAAGGAATTATGAATGGTTTTGCATTTGTAATGATCAAAGTAAAGCGTCCTATAATTTTAGTCACTTTCAGAAACGGTTCCATCATATATAGTTTAATGCAAACAATACAATCATAAAGGTTAGAGAAATTAAATTCGTACTCTACGGAGCTTCGAACCCAAGTCTGCGAATAAATGGCACCCATCGCTTTATCTGCACGCACCAACCCATATACCGTCACGACTAAGCACGCATCACCAAACAATGATGGCACTGAATCGGTGTTATATGAGCTCGTGCGTAGCAGACACACTCGCATGACGACCTAGTATATATATATATATATATATATATATATATATATATATATATATATATATATATATATATATATATATATATATATATATTTGCTCAATTGACACCGGTAGGCTCATGTTAATACCTCGTCCAAGAGGTAGGAGTAGTGGTACTAATATTAGTACTACCTAACACTTCAATCACTTTTTATATGATCGCCACTCCACCGTGTGTGCTAATTTCTCTTTCGAGTCTCGTGGGTTTCATGGATATAGACTCCTTGGCATCGACGTGCTTTGCTGTGATATCATTCGATCTGGATAAATCTGTGTCTACTTGCCTATTCGACCGCCAGGAGCATATGAGAGTACTCTAGCAGCTCCGGAAAACCAACAGCGCCTTCAGGAAGTGAGCGCATACGTTTTAAAATTTCTTCCCAATCGTCGATACATGCGTGATATATCCTAACTACCTGGAAGTAATAGTGTGCTCTGTTGCCTCAGCACTACAGAATTCAATGGTTTAATTTTATAAACATTGATAATGTTTTCTTTGTTGCTGGTCCTTTTTTGTTCTTTGCCCCTCCCGCCTTTTGTGGCTGTTAGAAATGCAGCAAGCTCTATTTGCTGTTTTTCTGTTAAAGACGGTTGAAGCCTAAAAAAAATATTATACGTTATGTCTCATTGCTCAATTTCTTAGCAGGTTTACTTATACACTTTGCCCAAATAGTTATGTTATGCTGTAAATACACAGCAAATTTTTGGTTGACTAATATCATTTAGCAACAAACACAATTTTACAATTTCATCCAACAATTTTCATGAGAGAGAGAGCGTACATTATGTATGACGTACGTGTACAGAGCATTGACATTATTTTTTTATATTTTGATTTTATTTCTTTTAATGCAGCTTTAGTGTAATCAACATAAATGTGATATGCAATTTTCTTTTAAACTTATCAATAGTAACTCAGATATCACGGCCATGCACGCGAGCACAATAGTGTCAACCTAAGTTTTACTAAGTGGCTAAATTTATTTTAACCACAATAATATTTTAATTATCCTTTGGTATGGTGACCTACGAAAATTGGCAGATACACGGCCTCGCTTGACTGCAATGCATAGAAGTTTCCGATAGGTTTAATGTTCCATATATTTCAAATACATTTAAACATCTTCTAAATTTGCGGAAATACATATTCATTACCCACTGAGAAAATGATGAACTTGTTAACAAATAATCAATGAGGCAATGAAGAATTCAGATTTATAGCTAACAAACCCGTACCCATCAATTTCATTCGACCTTTATGCTTTCGATGTCTTCCATTGTTTCAAGCAAACTTTAACATGGCTATTTTTTTACGTATGACTAAACTTTGAAGAACACGAAAATCATGCTTTGCATGTAAAGGCCTTATTATTTTATAACTTAGTTTAGAAAACTGAGCGACCGTGTCATACACAAATGCCAATTGACTGGATTTATTCACTCTTTAACATCTGATGTCAACGAAAAAGTTAACGGTGACATTTAAAATTGTTATGAATATTATAGTTCATTACCGTTTAATTACTCTGGATGCATTTGTTCTGACCCTAATAAGGAAATAGCTTCAACTTTACCGATTAGTTTTTGGCCAATTCATGTCAAATTGATTTATATTTAAAGTCTGACATCTGTTTGTTTACTTTGGCTGGCATTTTTCGGATTTAATAGCCATAAATATTGAAATCCACTGCCTGACATTTCCGTACGCGCTTGTAATTTTCGTCATCATATCCGTTTGTGGCTAAAACAGATTATTTGATTTCATGTACTGAATAGAAACGATCTTTCTATTCACTTTCTCCACTGAAATCAGTGTTCAAAGAGCACAACTTTTATAGAAAAGTGAGGTCATTTATTGTCTGGAACAAGAAATATTCGTATGGTTATTGAAGAGAAATCCAACAATGGGAAATATGTTCAGAATGCTCAGAGTTTTATTTTCTAACGTAGACATGATAACTCATTGTCTTTAATGATTCAATTATTTTATATTAATAGATCGTGTTCTTGAAAGTGGATTAGGTTTAGATCTTAGTTCCTATATTTCTCTTTACACTCTAAGTTCACTTTAACTTACTATCTCAAAATTGTTTTGTTTCATTCATCTTAAAAATGCATTAAGTCTACTTCATAGTAATTGCTATAATTTATAGCATGCTAGGCCTATTTAAGCTTGATGATCAATCCGATCACAAGGTTGCGTTTTGAACATTATCAAACCCCTCCCCCAAGGTTGGCTTGCGTAATATCTAAGCATATAAACTTTCTCATATTGTTTAATGCTTTATCAAGTCTTTTTATGCATTCCCGTGAATCAGTCAACCAATTAGTCAAATCGATTTAATAGCCAAATCAACTAGATTTATTTCCATAGTGCTGGAATGAATCTGAATTTAATGCAACCATATTAACTCTAAATTAGCCTATCAAAGCAGTAAGAATATTATCAAGATATGGTCAAACCTTACGAATATATGTCAAATCCATGTACGTCGTCATTGTATGGCATTTTTGGTTGAGAAAGAGTACCGGTGTCGTTAATGAGGTTCCATGAACTTCCGATTACATTTACAATAATACACCAACACCTGCTATAAAGAAGGTAAAATTGTTTACTTTACATTGGTTAGACATAAAATTGTAAATGAACAAAAACATATGCATGTGTTCTGTTTATGAATGAAATCAAGTTGACATTTGAACAAAACTTTGTGTTTTTTTAGTCTTTCCATCTGAATTTACATAACAATAAAATAACGATATTACTATGGTTGAGATGAATATGCTTTTTCTAGGGTTTATAGGTGCTTGTACCAATATATTTGTTTCTTCAAAATGTCTAATTATATTATTGCTTTACTTTTTATTTCTTTGTGTTATTCTCCCTTAGTGGTATTCACGCAACGCTTGATGACGATACGTTACGGTATTTTAGCATAAAACAGACTTATCAAGCCGTTGGAATAAATATTCTTAGGTATTTTCATGACCGAAATTATAAACCTTGAAAGAATAAATGACATGCATTCCGAATAATTTGTCGTATTATTCGATGGTTTTTAGCCCTCAAAACCTCAT